TAGATGAAATTTGGTAAGGTTTTTATCCCCGAAATCATCCCTTAAGGGGGGTGAAAATGGGGACGAAAGTTTGTATGGGAAATCAAACTAGGGACGAACCCGAGCGAAGCGAGACCGAGTCGCTAGTATTTAAAATTACATATGTTATTGTTATTGCAGGACATATCTACTTTCATTACTTTCTATAGTTATTATTCCACTCGTAGCATTTAGATATTTCTTTTCAGTATTTTTTTTTATCAAAATTGATTCCAAATTGCAGAAAATTTTGCGCAGTACACAAACCTAAAAATAGCTGAAATTAGTACCTTTTGTAAGTCGACCAAAAAGTAATTTTTCTAACAAGAATTAGGGGCTCGATATTTTTTAAATATTATATTCGACACGCTTAATCCGCTGAACTGATTTAGATGAAATTTGATATGAAGATAATTTGAGACACTAAAAGATAGTTTTAATGCCAGAAGTCATCCCTTAAGGGGGTGAAAAGGGTGGTGGAAATTTGTGTGAGGAATCAATAATTTCTATAAGACTCATCATCCCTATCTACATATAATTATAAATATATATTATAATATACATATAGTCTATTATAATATATAATCTATCTATACCATACTAACCGTTAAATACATATATATTTTATCCAGTACAAGGTTTTCAAAGATGATAAAATGCTTTAAAATATGTTGGGACATTAGATTCAGGCTCTAAGTTCTCATATCTCTCAAATATTAGTATATATATATAATATAACATGACTTTCTGGTACCCCTGATATACTGATTAGTAGTTATTTTTTGCTACTTAGCTGTACAAAAGAAGGGCAAATCAACAAAACTGTGATCTATAAGGTAATTTTTATCTTCCATCAGTATTTTCATTATTTTTTTAACTTACAGAAATGTCAAGTTCCCGGAAGCATGTAACAAAGTATGAGACATTTCCGTGCATTTCAGCGTTTACCTTTGAGGGGCGGAGGTGGTGTGGATCCCATTTATGAAAATAGTATTTTTGAATACAATTCCCTAAATAAATCGTAAAGGCAAGATAAAAGCTACAATATATATATCGACTGAATATAAGAGAGTGATATTTACAGTAAGAAATATAGTTATTTGGCTTGGCTGTGATTTTTGTTCACTGAGCTTGAATGTAACATATGCCATTACTGGTTAAAACGTAAATATTTTATTTAATTAGGTAAATTAAATACTAGCTTTCATTTGTGGTTCACACGCGAGGTTTTTACTTCGTATTTATCAAAATCATAAAACCGCACACTAATACCGACACTTTGATGATATTTGAACATATTCAGAGTAAAGACAAGAAATTTCATGTAAATTCAAGGTTCTACTTTGAAATGAATGTGTTGTAAAATGTGTCCAGCAGTAGGAATTTAAGAAAAAGTATTATTATTTTCAACAGTTTACTTCGTTTATTTTAGTAAAAGATATCCTAAATAATGACCTGAGTATTAAGTTATCATTGGAGGATATAGATATAATATTATAATATAGATTCTTTACAGAAGAGATAATGTTATGAAAGTTAAAAGAAACAACTAAAGTAAAAATAACAGCGAAAACAAAGTATTTATAATAAAATCCCATTAATTATATCATACATACGTGTTAGATATTAAGATAATAATGTTGATTACAATTGTTTTACACACCTTTACTTGTTTACTGAAAACGCTTGACGCCAGTAAAGATCAACGAGGTCATTTTTGACGTATGCAAATCTCATTTTCTGTTATTTATAAAGCACTAGCGACTCACCCTCGCTCCGCTCGGGTTCATCCCTACTTACGTTTCAAAGTTTAGTATAGATTTCTCAAAAATGAGATATTTTCCCGCAATAAAAAGTATCCTATATGTTGACCCAGATAACCAGCTATCACCAAACCAAATTTCATTAAAATCCCTCCAGTGGTTTTTGTGTGATGCGGTAACAGACAGACGGACAGACAGACGGAGAGACAGACTAAAATTCTAAAAACTATAGATTCGGCCTCTGTATCGATAATAATGTTTATTTCAATATGATTTTCCAAAAAATATTTAACGTACAGATTCGGCTTAGCTACAATTTTATTAGTATATAGATAAATACCGTTGATTTTTTAGTTTCATCTAGAATTATCAGCCTATTTAAAAGTAGTATCTATAGGTATATTCTCAAACCCTAAAAATTATAATATTTTTCGAAATTCACTTTAAACTTTACTAGCGACTCACCATCGCTTCGCTTAGGTTCGTCCCTAGGTAGGTACGCTTTAACGGTTAGTATGGAATAGATATAATGATTATCTATACTAATATTATAAAGAGGTAAAGTTTGTGAGTTTGTGGCGTTGTAGAGGGTAATATGTGGATCTACTGAACCGATTTAGGTGAAATTTGGTAAGAAGATAGATTGAGACCCTGGTAAGAACATAAGATATTTGTTATCCCGGAAATCATTCCTTAAGGGGGTGAAAATGGGGATGAAAGTTTGTTTGGGGAATCAACCTAGGGACGAACCCGAGGAAGCGAGGGTGAGTCGCAAGTATAGTAATTGTAGCTTACAGCCTTCCTCCATAAAAAGGTTATCTAATGCAAAAATAATTTTTCAAATCGTATTAGTAGTTTTTAGAAATGCGCGTTCAAACAAACAAGCAAACAAACAAACAAACAAACAAACAAACTCTGCCTCTTTATACTATTAGTACCTATAGATTATAAGAAACAAAATGTCCATTCTTATTTTTGTCATGGTTCCACGTTGAAATATTATAAGAATTATACTATTAATTTTATATTTTTATTTATTTATTTGTGTAGACAGTAAATTAAGTACACAGATAATATGATCTATTCTATAAGAATTTTTATGTGGTATAATGTACATACACATTTATGTATATGTTTATAAAAAAATGAAATAAATTAGGTATTATAATAATAATTAGTAAGGCATTGTTACATATAATTAGGTACAATTTGGCTACAAATGCTATTTTATTTCAGACTTTGAATAAATGAATGAATGAATAACTCTTTATTTTACACCCAAAAAGAGAAAAGAAAATATACAAAATCTAGAAGAAGGTACAAGAGGCGGCCTTATCGTTAAAAGAGCGATTTCTTCCAGGTAACCTTTATACTTTAATAAAATATGTTTAAATATATTGTTGTTTTTTTAATAATGATGAATGTATCTATGATGTTACTGGCTTTAGCCTAACAAATACATTAAGAGTATGAATGAACATGGTTAACTATATTGTTTATTGATTAGTTTTACGTAGCTCCTAATTATTATAATAATTAATTATCATATAAATATATTTAATATATTTAATAAATTATCATATTGATAATTATCATATTAATTATTAGAAAGACATAAGAGAAATAAGTAATATAGCTAAAGGATTCTAAAATAGGGGTATCTCGGGGGAGTTGCAGCCGTTGCTCATTAGTAAAGTAATGCGTTCGTTTGGGAAATCGAGTAAAGCGAGCTCAAATCCCGGGCTCCTCTGATATTCTCATGTGTGAATCATTTTCGATATAACTACCACTTGCCTTACGGTGTAAAAAATTTCGGGAGAAAATCTGTATGTCTGAGAGAACCAAGCAAGTTTTTGAAAGGGATGTGAAGTCTGCCAACCTGTACTTGGCCAGCTTGATCCCCTCGTATAGAAAGATGGCCCAAGTCCAGCAGAAGAACGTTAAAAAAGGGCTAAATACAATTAAAAAACAACTTTATTGTGGTCGAAAAACCAGAGTATCTAAATCATATATGATTCATGGGAAATGTACTATTTACACGACTATGTAACAATCCCGATCCCATTATCAGTGTTTACGTAAAATAATATTGTATAAAGGAAAACGGGGAATAACAATGCATTTAAAATTATCTTATATTGTACAGACTTAGATATGCTTAGGAGGTATTTTTTGATAAGAAACAGTTTTTGTGACTCATTTTATATATTATGTTTACTAGTAGAAATCGCTGCTCGCCCTAAAGGTAGGTTTCATACAAACTTTCATCCCCTTTTTTACCCCCCTTACCCTTGTCCCAAGCGAGCGTGTTACCACTGGGCTACCACTGCCTTATTTTAATTATTTTAGAAAAAATATTAAACTTTGTGAATATTTCAGTACAGAGACTTCAAAGGCTATATTAAAAATGTAATCGAAAAAACGTGTGAAATGTAATTTGACAATTTCTTAAAACTTCACCTTTAAAGTGTCAGTTTCCTTTACTTGTGGCCGTTATTATCTTAATTCGTGACCACAAAAACACTTTTCCTCATCGTTCTTGATATGAATTCAATGACTGAGTACACCTCACATAAGGACTAAAATGGGGATGTACCTTAGACTATCTTTTCTATACAAATACGTGTGACTTCGTTTATTTTTATCATTATTGGCTTAGAATTGCTAATAAAAAGCGGTCAGTCGAAAATATTACCAATTTATTGAAAAGCAATTACTGGAAATGGACTTACAGTGTTTATTAGCCTTATTTATTACCTTATCGTCGTTAAATGTTGCAGGTGAGTTTGTTGTTAAAATGAAAATAATGTTAATTTATAATATTGTACTGATTTATATGATAAATTTAAATGAAGTTATTTTTTGTATCAACTATAAATAAACAAAAATCGGTCAAGTGCGAGTCGAATTCGCGTGCGAAGGTTTCTTTACCATCGTACATGTACCTAACGTTAAAATAATTCTTGTATATTTTTTTTTAATTTTTATATTTTTTTATTATTTGTACTTAACTAATTACAGCTCTTTGATAAAGTTTATCTGAATAGAATAAAATATGGGGCAACGTATGATAGCGTTCCAGAAAGTAAAGCTTATGTATTGCTAGTGATAAGTCAGTTCTCGGTAACAAAATATTACATTATTATATCATTGTAATGTATGTTATGTTAATTTTAATTACATTACTTACATAAATTAACACAAATAAATAAAATAGAAATGCTCATCGTTGGTAAGCGTCTCATTTTAGAACAATTTACTGGAAAATTGGGAAATTCAGCAAAGTTTCAAGTGTTTTTTTCATAGAATTCTTATGAACTCAAAAACCAAAAATGAAATTCTTGAATATTTAATATTATTATTAATTGGTTTTTATATAATTTAATTGTTTAGAATAGTGAAACATAAAATTAAACAGCTAATTCAGCCAGTTGTTCTAGTGTTAACATAGTTGCTATGGATGATTATTACCTATAAGCCGAATGGTGTTTTTATGTCACTAAATTAATTATGATCGTATATAAAATAAAGCACTTAGCTTAAGACTGTACTTGGTCATTTATTATTTTTTCCATAATATTTAAAGGTCAATATCATAAAGTTCTTGTTTATTTTTAAAAATGTATTATAAGTAGGCACAATACATTTGTATTATATGTACTATATATAAAACTAGCATTGCCCGCGGCTCTGCCCGCGTTCAGATGACCAAAAACCGAATTCTTAGCCTTTCCATATTAGTATACTTTTACATTGCAGTTTTTGTAGTTTTTCTCAGAAATGAGACATTTTCTCGCGGTAAAAAGTATCTTATATGTTGACCCGGTTAACCACCATACCAATTTTCATCAAAATCCCTCCGGTGGTTTTTCTATGACGCGGTAACAGACATACAGACAAACAGACAGACAAAAATTCTATAAACTATAGATTCGGCCTCTGTATCGATAATATTGTCTATTTCAATAAGATTTTCCAAAAAATATTTCATGTACAGATTTGGCTTAGTTACAATTTTATTATGTTACATATTTCATGTCAATTTTCCCATATTAATTAATTAGAACTCAGGCACTTTTACATTGATCGCTTCAATTATTTCATAACAATAACGTATTGTTTATAATTGTGTATAATTGCTTTTCTTACTTAATGAGTTAACTATTTATAATCTAACAACAGACATTCATGTAAATATGAAGTTATACTAGAAGTTAAATAATATAATACTTTTAAATTATAATCGCAATTTAGATATGTAGGATACTGATAGCGTAGTCTGCTAATATATAATACTAGCATTGCCCGCGGCTCCGCCCGCGTTCAGATGACCAAAAACCAAATTCTTAGAGTTTACATATTAGTATACTTTTAGATTGCAGTTTTTGAATTTTTTCTCAGAAATGAGATATTTTCATGAGGAAAAGTATCCTATATGTTGACCCGGATAACCAGCTATCACCATACATCAAAATCCCTCCAGTGGTTTTTCCGTGATGCGGTAACAGACAAACAGACAGACAGTCAAACAGACAGACAGACAGACAGACAGACAGACAGACAGACAGACAAACAGATAGACAGACAGACAGACAGATAGACAGACAGACAAAAATCCTAAAAACTATACATTCGGCCTCTGTATCGATCTATTTCAATAAGATTTTCCAAAAAGTATTTAATGTACAGATTTGGCTTATTTACAACTTTATTATATGTATAGATATGTAGTTGTCTGAAGAAGGCCTGTAGAGAGGGGTATTTGAGGTGAGACGCGAATGTCGCGATACCATGTTTTCGCGACATTCCGGAAACGGCTATACGGTTGATGGGTATAACTGTATCTTGCCATGATATGATAATGCAGCACTTTAGCAACTTCCTGATAAATATTGGTATTTTTGGCAACTCTTACATTTGGCACCATTTAAGATAAATCCATTGAGGTAAACCTATTAAGGATTTACTTAATTAATCAATTTCTAACATTAATTGACTGACTGATATTGCAGATGCTGGGTACAGATACACTACAAGTGTTATAATAATAATAATTGTGCTACCGTGTCCTCACTGCTCCGCTCGCATAGTTTATTCCCTATTTTTTATTCTCATTAAGTTTAAAATGGTTAGAATTAAAAGCAACAAATATTATAAGGTACTCTGGTGCCACTTTTGAATTATTGTAATCATTTTTGTAAAAATTTGGGTAGACACTATATTTATGTAGACACTTGTAATAAGTATATAACGCCTTTGAGACGTCTAAACCTTTCGATATCTAAATCATTTAAGACGTCGGGAACCAAAAATAAATCCGCGAAATAATGCGAAAACACAGTTTTATTTAAAATAGGTTGAAAAGATTGTATTGCTTCTCATTTTCCATGTAATGTACATAAAATAATATATCAATATTAATTCACAGATATTGTATATAAAGATACTAGCTAGCACGTACTATTGCTTTCTATTTCACCTTTTACTCTACTAAGTACTGACATAAACTAAAAGCATCTTTTCAGCGCCAGAATGTGATGTAATGCCCATAGCTCAATGGGAAGGCTCTCCATCCAAGAGACAAATAGAATTAGTGAAACCTGTTACATTAGTTGTTGTTCAACATACTGTGACTAAGGAGTGCTCGACTGATGCTGATTGCGAGAAAATCGCGAATGGAATCAGATCTTTTCAGATAAATGATGTAAAATTTGATGATATTGGACAATCGTAAGTGTCTATAAAATATGTAGATAATATTATATTCTTTTGTATTTTTTAAGCATTAGTTCTCTTTAATTAGCTTATTTGAATATTTTTCTTAATAATAATGAAATCCGTCAGCAATTTTTGTTTATTAATATTTTTTTACTTATCAATCAGTATACAAATTGTAATTTGTATTATTTTAATACATTATTTTTCGGTTTTATGTTTAATTCTATGAGACTATGTCTAGTGTCTATATTATTCCTCGGTCTGAGTTTGGGTAATATTTCTTTGTTATAAAATTTCAGACAAACTATATGAAACATAAATATTTATAAAAATTATTGACGATAAAATACAGCTTAGTTACAATGCATAAAAAAGAAATCTCTTTGTCTGAAGTATAAATTAAGTGGAAACGTTGACTCTCCATTGTTCCATCGATATTTCATTTTTATTTTGACAAATGCTAGTTGACTGGTGGCAATTATTAAATGTGTAAAATTACTAGTTTTCGTCTGCGGCTCCTCTTCATGGTATATCGGGTCGAGATAAAGCCTTTTTTATGTTGGGGAATAATGCATTTAGGCACGAGGTGTGGGACTCACCGGCAAAGCCAGTACTACCCTATAACTACTACACTAAAACCCAATGGAACCTTCACCATCTTAATGGGACCACAGACAACAGACCAGATAACAGACCACAACAACCATGGGGTTGCTCTCCAGTCCACACTGCTATCAGAGAAGTACCAGGAGCAACCCACATAGCACACCGCCCACCGAAGTGGGCATGGCGGAGATAAAGCCTATCTTATCCTTATGATGCAATTTATGTATTTGCCAAATTTCATCAAAATCTCTACAGCGGAGAAAGCGTGACAGAATAACAGATAACTGAGTTACTTGCACATTTATAATATTAGGATTAATTTTAATTTCAGATTTCTTATCGGTGGTAATGGAAAAGTGTACGAGGGTGCCGGGTGGCGCGTCGGAGCACATACTTTGGGCTACAATGACAAGTCTATAAGCATGTCTTTTCTTGGTGACTTTAGAGGTAAATAAAATTGCATCATTATTATCTTATGTTAGTAATTATTACAATAGACTTATATTTTTATAATAATAATATTATATAAGACTAGCGACTCACTCTCGCTTCGCTCGAGTTCATCCCTGGGTACGTTTTAACTGTTAGTATGGAATAGATAGACTATATATTATATATATAGTATCATATATATTATATATAGTATCATATATATATATATATATATATATATATATATATATATATATATATATATAGGTATATAGGTATATAGGTATATATATATAATAAACAGTTCTAATCTTTTCGATTTTCCAGCAGTTTTGTAGGGTTTTCCCTATTTTATTTTATACTTCAAATCGGTCCAGCCGTTTTTGAGTTTTAGTGAGGATACTAACGAACGGCAATTTGATTTGATTTTATTTTATATGTATGTTGTAAATAGATATTATAATTAATATTAATTCTATAAAAATATGATTTTGGAAAGACTAAAGAAATTTTAATATGTAAGAATCTTAAAGAAGCATAGCTTTATGTTTTATTATGCAATCCATCCACCAACATTCAAATTTTGTTTTATAAAAAAAGTTAATTTAATTGTGTAGGTGTTACTGTTAAAATTCTATAAATAAAATAATGTAATTCTAAGTAAAGCACTTAAATACAGAAAGACTATTCGAATATTATTTCGGAATTCCTGTAAACAAATAACAAGTACCTTTGTCTTAAAAACTACTTGAAAGATATTCCAAAAATTTGTACTATACGCATATAGCTAATATATAAACAAGAATACTCGATTATTTAATTCTAGAAAAAATATATAATAAAATCTGTTTTTCAGAGAAACTACCAAGCGAACAGGCACTAAAAGCTGCTCAAGATTTTCTAAGTTGCTCCGTCGACAATAACAATTTGAATGGAGAGTACTATTTGGTCGGTCATATGCAACTCTCCGCTACACTAAGCCCTGGCGCTACGTTACAAAGCCATATCGAAACCTGGCCTCATTGGCTTAATGATACTAGTAACATTTAAACATTGATATTATACTTATAAAATATATAATACTAATCTTGTTATAGTTTCTTTTTGTATAGTCTGTATAAATATTATAAATGTGAAAGTTTGTGAGTATGTATGGACGTATGGATGTTTGTTACTCTTTCACGCCAGAACGGCTGAACGGATCTGGATGAAATTTGGCACAGAGATAAATTATAGTCTTGATTAACACATAGGCTACTTTTTATTCCAGAAAAAAAAATGATGTTCTCCTGACCGATTCCGGCCATGGCGGCCAATTTCATTGAGACTAGCCAACTATTCAGGAGATATTATAATATCTGCACAGTTGGCTAGTCTCAATGAAATTGGCCGCCATGGCCGGAATCGGTCAGGAGAACATCATTATCATCATATAAATAAAGTCTCAACTCACAATTAATTAGTCTTATCATCGTATTAGTATTGTATCAAATCCACATTGTATTTTCGCATAATTTTAGTATTTAGGTAGGATAATATTTTTCAGAATACTCGTTTATAATCACGACGTATTTCATGCTCAGAACCAAGAATATAAATAAATTAATTAAGTGAACGAAGTCACAGGCCAAAAATTAGCATATAAATATTTGTGAGAATCAGAGTTTAAGGTAATGGCATATCGCCTTGGCTGTGTAGTTTGTAATTTTCCTTTTGTATTAATAAAGGGAAAAAAATATAGTTTTGCTTTATTCTTTAATTTTATATTTAAATTTAATATTAATTTAAATAATTACCTACAATAATATTAAGACTGAATTATATTATACAGAAAAAGCGCTTTAAAGTCGTTACATAATACTAGCTTTATCCCGCGGCTCCGCACGCATCATCAATCATGTATTACTATATCTTTACTAGCCTATGTGTTATTGTTATGTATAAGCTATATTATTGTAAAGTTTCATCAAAACCTATTCAGTAGTATTTGTGTGATAGAGTAACAAAGATCCATCCCTCCATCCATTCTAACAAACATTCGTGTTTATAAAATTAGTACGGACTTCAATTCACCAATGAATATGTAAATGACTCTGATGAACACAGAAATAAGAAAAAATTTGCATATAATGGAATAGTGCTCTTTGAGGAAACCTTTGTTGTTTAAATATAATGTGGAAAAACAAAAAAAAATATCAAACAAGACAAGATTTATTTCCTTCGCTATCACAGTTTACTAAAGTTCTTACATAAAATGTAACAAAAGTACCGAAAGTTTGCAACGCTAACCACAATTTCGACTAGGCGTTTTTTTAGGTATCTACTCGTGCTTATTTTGTATTTTTAATATCACGATAACTGCTGTACTAAAGTGTTTCTATTTTTAACCGACTTCCAAAAAGGAAGAGGTTCTCAATCCGTCGGAATCTTTTTTTTATGTATGTTCACCGATTACTCGAAAACACCTGAACCATTTGGAATATACATATATATATTTTATTTTGTTTCAATGGGTCTACTTTCCAGGTGGTTCCATATAAATTTTATCGAAATCGGTCGAGCGGTTTTAAAAAAAATCAACTATAAATTATTTAAAAAAAAATGTTTAATCGAATATGTTACTAAAAAAATGTTCTTCTTACAAATTACCTGCTTGTTACGTCTACACTAAACATGGAAAAATAAAAACTTAAATAAACTTACTGGCACTAAAATGTAAGAAAAAAACTAAATTGGGGTTTTCATTTAGAATAGATACCTAATCAGATATTTTCGAAGTCGGTGCAAGCAATATTTTAAGATATGAATATCTTTAGGTAAATATATATTATGCGTATCGAAATATATTAGATTTGCTTTGCATCGGCATAGTGTATAATATTATATTAAAAAAGGTGTGTGTACTTATGTATACACGTAAAAAGTTATACTTTTTTGGCATAACAAAAGAAAAATAACTTCAAAAATTTTATCCTGCGTGACAATAGAATATTGGTAGAAACGATGATAAAATAACGAAGTTAGATATTCAATACAATTGATAACGGATTAATTAAAAAATATAATTATTTAATAAATGAGAATGGCTATCCACAAGCGAAAATAACTTTAGATACTTATATGAATACTGGCATTGCCCGCGGCTCCGCCCGCGTTCAGATGACCAAAAACCAAATTCTTAGGCTTTACATATTAGTATACTCTTACATTGCAGTTTTTGTATTTTTTATCTGAAATGAGATACTTTCCCGCGGTAAAAAGTATCCTATATGTTGACCGGGATAACCAGCTATCACCATACTAAATTTCATCAAAATACCTCCAGTGATTTTTCTGTGATGCGGTAACAGACAGACAAAAATTCTAAAAACTATAGATTCGGCCTTTGTATCGATAATAATGTTTATTTCAATAAGATTTTCCAAAAAATCATTAATGTACAGATTCGGCTTTGTTACAATTTTATTATATGTATAGATTTTATGAGATATAAATGTTAAATACATGTTGGGACATTAACACACAGCGCCATCTAGTTCCATGGTAAGCTACGAGGCTTGTGTTATGGATACCGGATAGTTGATACACTACACATATATAACTTTAAATACATACATATTATAAATATAAACACCCATGACTGGAGTACAAACATTCGTGCTCATCATACAAACAAATTCCCCCAGCGGGACTCGAACCCGCGACCGCTGGCACAGCAGGTAAGGTAAAATATATTCTTTTCTACGTTATTCTATATAGCTATATTGTCAGTTACATTCACGATTACTTTTAAGTAGATTAACTTGAATTAAAAAAAGTCATTATATTCTTTTCTCACTTAGTGCGCTTCAGTCATATTTTCTTATGCACAAATCATTTTCAACGTGACTATGACTTGCAGCTTGAACAAAAAAAAAATTGCATGTCCGAGAGGACCTAACTAGTTTTCGAAAGATATATGAAGACTGTCAATCCTCATTTGGCGATCTATGGCTTGATCCTTCTGACACTAAAGGGTTAGTAAAGTTAAAGCCCATGAAATTGCTAACAAAATCCACGTACTTACTAAGGGACGCACCCGGGCGTGTAACTCGCTACTTAATTTTATAATATTACAAAAATATTACCACAATTACCTTATTTTTGAAATTATCAGTCAGATTTAAAAATGCTTATTGCATTTAATAGGTTATTTATTGTGAAATGTAATATATAGTTTGTTTAAATTTTAACTTTACTCCTAAGTATGTACCATAACTTTAAACTTTAAAGTTATAGGCGTTCTTAGTAGCGGAACGATTGTTGGTACATAAACAAACTACGTGAAGCCACCTGCTACCATATTGTAACAATTCACATTTATAAAATTTAGCTTATGACAAAAATATTAACCGCCTGTAGGTAACTAGTCTAAGATACTTGGTTGTTTTTAAAAACATGTTATTTATGATTTTCTTGCTATATTGTAATTCAATGAGATGAATGTCAGCTTCATGTACCTACTCCGGTTCAGAGGTGCAGATGTCTGTGATTTATAACCTATTGTATGCTAATAATGTGTTCTAAAATAAGTTCTAGTAGTCATTTTGTATGAAATTTTACAAGTAGGTACGCGTTTTAAAAGTTTTTATTTATTCGCGATTTTACTACCATAAATAATAACGATACTTGACCATATATGAAGGAATGCGTCGAGGCTCTTGAAAATGGATAAAAAAAACTATAGAAAAGATTTCACATATTATTTATTTATTTAATTATCCATTAAAGTAAGAATTTAGGTAAAATATTACCTAATAAATTACGATAAGTTTATTTATATTAAGCACCTGCAGTAAAAATATGAAATTTCTATATACGGCTGTGCCAGAAATATAGTAGATATTTTACACGATGTTTGGCTTATCACAGTTCTGTAATGTATGAATTCACCACTTGAAAATACGTACCCTAGCTTCGCTCGGGTGCGTCCTAGGTACGTTTTAAATAGATATTAGCAAACCAATAGATAGAAATAATAAATATTAGCTAGTGATTTTTTCCGATGTTTTAATACTTATTCTGCTATACGGGGCGGAGATAAATCCAACAAATCAAAGATCATAAAAATCGGTCTAGCCGTTCTTTCGTTATAAATGGTGTATCTTTCTCGACTTTGTTTTATACATACTATATATATAACTAGCGCTACTCTCGCTTCGCTCAAATTAATAAATATTAAAAGCGTTTGACAAATTACGGTTTTTATTTATTTTATATCCAATTAAGTCAACAAAAAGTTTTAATTAGTCAAGTTTATGAGAACATGAGAAAAAAGGCAATCAATATTAAACACTGAACAGCCCTTCATAAATAATTGGGACGTTATACAAAGTTTTTTTGTATTTTTTCGTAATTTTCCTAAACAATTCCTTCATAAAAGTGTTCATGATATTGTTACGAGATTGGGATCTGAAATTAAAGTTTATAATAAACACGAGAGTAATTGCTTATATTCACATACACGAAAAACGCATAATAACGATTTAAATTGAATTTTTACAACCTGAATATATTTAAGGTGCGTGTTAACAAGCTTCCTTTGGGCAAACTCGCTAGATCGTAGACCTTATCTGTGCCCTCGAGCTAAGATGAAGGTCAAGAGTGAGCCCATTTCTAATAAAAAAAAATAACGGCTTAGTTCAGTCATTCTGTTTAATTCATCATTTCATAGAACTAATGGTGTAATATAATTCCCTTAACACACCACTAGTCTAGATATAGCGGTGTAATATGAGCGACGTCATAATTTTGCCTTATTTCACTTCAATTTTTAATTAATTTCAAAGATCCGCTGTTTTCTCTATAAAATGTCACTCTTAACATTTATAAGGCAACTACTCGTAGCTCCGCCCGCGTTCAGATGACCAAAAAGCGAATTCTTAGGTTTTACATATAAGTTTACTCTTACTATGCAGTTTTTGTATTTTTTCTCAAAAATGAGATATTTTTTCTTCGAAAATATCTCATTTCTGAGAAAAAATACAAAAACTGGTATATTAATATGT